GTCATGTTCTCAGTTGGACCCAAGAACATTTTTGGAAGGGGGCAGTGCTCCCTGGGTTATTCGACTCACTGATGGCCTTGGCCTATTAAAAAATAAAGAGCCTAAAAATTCCACACTCAGTGGCAGGGGGTTCTGAGTGCATGGACTTGTGGATGTCAGCTGTCCTCCATCCCAGTGTGTGATTAATGGGAAGTAACGTTGTTGAAGCATTACCCACACTGTTTACTTCAACCCAACATATTTCAGTCTGGAGTCCTAAGATGATGCTCATATGTGTAGTGGCTGTGGGTTCTCTTGTCTCTCTGTTTTACAATTGCAGTGGGGTTGGACATTCTTTCTGGGTGAATCATTCATTCTTCTAGGTAGGAGGTCATTCTTTCCAGTTGTGCAAATTACTTGCACCAGTACCTGCTTTCATTTTCAACTTTGGTGCACAGTTATTTTGTTCAGTAAAATGCCATAAAACATTGACCCTATCAAGTCTCATATCCTTCAGACTCTATCAGGAGATCTTACAGAATCTTGTAGAATTGCAGAAGGCAAAGCCCAGGCACTTGAGGCCCTTTCAAAGCGGAAGGGTACATGTACATATATATGTTCTGGTCATACTGTACCACAGGGTTCTTGCATTTGAAGCAAATTCCAGGACTGAGATAACCAAATCTTTCTTGCCCAGATTTCATTCCTTTTCAAGTGAATCCTAAACTAATGGGAATACAGACACCCCTTTTATTTTATTACATCTGTGAATATAGTGAAGTACATGTACATATGTACAGTACAAGGTACATGTATGTGCTGGTACAATGTACATGTACATGTTCATTGTACATATGAATGGTGGTACATAGTATATGTACATGTACATACAGTACATGTACATGTACATGTGTATGCAGATGGTTTTATTCCTCCATGGTCTGCTGAAGTGTTTCTCCCTTCCACAGTTTGAGCACAAAGATTACTCCCAGAGCCTGTATGGAATGCTGTTCATGGCATTCAGTACTCTATGCCTAATTACCTTACATTAAACTTAAGTGGCTGTAAATACACTTGTCTCCCAGGGAAAATCGAAAACAGATTCCTGGCAGTGCAATTGGGGCTCGCTGGCCAAGTGGATTTTTTTCCTGTGTTCTGCTCCTTTCCTCCGGGATAAACTGCTGAAGAAGAGTCCCAGCCTCAAATTGATTTCCGTCCTCCCCCCTGCTAAGTGCCCAATTTTCCAGGAGCAATAGTGACAGTAGTGTCTTTTTTAGGGACATGCCCCAGCTGGGGGGATGCCGGAATGGACTTGTTCATTTTATGACATGCTGCTAGAGAGGGATCAAAAGTTAAGTTGGAAAGAAATTGGAACCCTCTTCGTGTATTGAGGATGGTAGAGGTTTGAGGATTTCTTTTAAATGAAAGGACAAAGGATATTTGTATTGTGCCTCAACATTTGGGGATGCAGAATGGTAGGGAGAGGTTGTAAGGGATTGTAGAAATGGAATGGTCCAAATTAATGCATCGATCAACCAACTAGGGCTCTTTACAACCAGGTATGGAGGTCTAAAATTCTTACTACAAGAGTCTGGAAGTTTAACGGATGAATGCTAAAGATAACGTTTGCCTATGAAGGACAGTTGGAAGAGTTGCCCCCCTCCTCTCATCCCAACCACCCTCCCAGGTTGTTCAGCTTTAATTGGATGGTACACATATACAGGAATCTGGACATTGCGAAGCACTCTCGGCTGCTTGAGCATTAAACACACAAATTTTACTCAAACTCAGTGACACTCATATTTTTCAGGTGTTCCTATTTTCTGCTGTGCCTTTTTTTACACATTAGGGATAAATAAATGTTAAACAAGACCCAACTTTGTATTCCACTTGCCCATTACTGCCCATCAGTGTGACAACAAGGCTTGTTAACTTGCCCAACCAGCACTGTAAAAACAAACTCTTGCCTACTCATCTCGTGGGCCGTGGATATTCATTGCTTATTTCACCTGTGATGATTAAATAAAAGAAAGTCTGAGCTTTCATCTCGGAATAAGTGCCCTCAATGGGTGCTTAGAAGGACCACCTGATCCAAATGGCAAAATAAAGCACCTGCCAGCCGCAAACAGTAGAATTTCTCCCTCTCCTCCCCGAAATATTCACAAGAAGAATTTAGCATTAACTCAACACATTTCAATGACCCTGCTATTTGTGGGGGCCTGCAAGGACCTTCAGAAAGATCCCTTATTGTCCCTAAGCCTCCAAGATATTCTCTTTTTGGAGCTGAGTTGCGAAAATAAACACTCCCCTCTCTGCCCCCTGGCGAAAACAAACAAGTGAAGCAGCTTCCGCCCAGCCCTTGGCTTATGTGGCTCGCTTTTCCCCCCTCCGATCTCTGGCTGGATCATTTTTGTACGGAGAGCTATGGTATGTTTGTTCGAATGCATATGATGCAGTCAGTACATGTAGGAGGAGCAAGAAAACACAGCCTGGATGCACCACTGCCCTCACTGCCAGCCACTCCATACACTCCAGTGGGGCCTCTTCCAAGGGGAATAATTTGTCTCCTTGTGTCAAATTTCTTCTCCAGTCTCTCTACGGTGTTCAAATCTGGACTTCCTTGTCATTGTGTAGCACTGGGGGCTTTTCTCACTTGCAACTGCCTCACCAGACATGGTTCTGATCAGTTTTTTTTTTTTTGGTGGCCCTTCCCGAGAGAGACCAAATAGCTGTACACAATTGCCTTGCCCTGAAAAGGGGATTCAGGATATTTCAGTAACTGACAGGTCCTCAGAATGGCTTGCTTTGTCCAGCCGAAAAATGTTTGACAGCGTTCTCTTTGCAGCCAAGGAATAAGCTGCCTTATTTCCCCCGTTGGGAGAAACATCAAGCACAAAGTCCTTCAGCGGAGGCTTGGCCCTTTTGATTGTTATGTGCAGTGCAGTTAAAGATTCCTTTATATTTCAGCAATATTACCAGTACCATGGTCCCGAAGTATTCACTGAGTTGTCATCATGCATTAAACATAGCAGTTCATTTTGCTGACAAACCAGTAAATCTGCAGAGTTGTTGAACTTCAGTTGAAACCAGAAGGTGGCTGGAATGAGTAACGTGGCTCTTACAAAACAGAAGTAATCTACATGTCTTGTTGATGCAGATCGTTTGGGCGTCATGCATTTTATTCACAAAAACCATGAATTTGTTCATTTACTCTTACTGGTACATCCAAATCAGGAATTTTTAAAAGGCCTTGCTTGATGTACTAAAAATTTAAAGTGATGCTTACTCAGTTGGTTGGCAGGATATATTTTAACGGAAATCATTACAAACTGCAAGAAATGTAATTCTGTGCAAATGTTAGGATACGTGCATGTGTGGTACATGTACATGTCCGTGTAGTTGAAATGTGCATGCTCGACAAGGCACTATACATGTACCCGGTACATGTACATGTACATACATGTAACTCTCTTGGATGTTGAACCTGAGAAAAGGCTTTCCCAGCTGTCTTGGCTCTTGATGGCCTCCTGCATCAGGCCAGTCCTATTCAATGTCCCTCTCCTGTAGGTATTTCGTGCATTGTGCATTTATGCATGTGGTACATGTACCTGGAAACAAGGCTATTTTCTGATGGTCAACAAGGCAGCAATTTGAACAAAACAACCATTCCAATTCCCTGAGTTAAGTGGTGTTCCTTCTTTTTTACTACATACGTGGTGAATATATCATGTCAGGTCACTCTCCAGTCTCTAAGCATTGAAGTAGAATGATAGTTATGCGGCAGAATTATCAAACTGTGGAATCTGTGTTCTGCTTGAGCTGCAATGGCTAACTGAGAAATCAAATTAGTGGTCCATCTGTTAATGAAAATTGCCACAGTGTTTTATTGGCAGCTGGTGATTGCATTGTCCTTGGTTCAATAGGGAATGCAGCCAGACAGAAAAGCCAAAATTGTTTGAATTTCAGTTGGGTCTCTGGTAACCCAACAACAAATCATATCTCCAAACAGACATGATTTTGTAGCAAGTTACAGCAATTATTTTGAGGTTGGTTATAGCATCTTATCAATCATGATTGGTGACCTTGCCCTTGGTCATTTGAGAATGTGGGTAAATACAAGTACATTTGAAATTGTGATAACCTTGAAGTACATGCAAGCTACAGTGAAGGTAAGTATATGTACACTGTACATGTATATGCATAGTGTGAATGGAATTTCCAATTTGTTATTGCAAGGGAAGTGAAAGTCAAACTTTTTATGTGAGCTTGCCAACAGTTGATGATTACACTTGAAATGAAATGATGAAAATACTTCAGAGTACAACAGTGAAATCATTCCAGCTCAGTTGAATTTGATTCATTCGGTAGGAAACAGGTGTCCTTTACAATGTTGTAATTTTTAAAGGTTTACTTACCCAAAACCCGTGACGATGTCACTGTTATTGCTTTTCTGTGCTCTGTTTTTTTAAGCATTGAAAGTGGCATTGAAAAAGTATGATGACCCTGATGCGGTATGGATTTGGTGGCTCTCACTGGATTTGCATCTATTCCATTGTTTTGTTACTAAGGCAACAGTGATACCACAGATGTCCGTTAGTGCTCGAGCACTGGAATTATGCAAAGAGCAGCTACTGCATTTGCATCTCTGGTAGTTCTGTATGTGTACCGGTACATCCCTCACCAAATGGTATTGCAGTTTGGTTATCGTTGGTAATTGGTTATCGTTGCCATATAGAAAAAGTGCATTGCAATTGTGAAGAATTACTCTGGCACATGTGTGTGGGCTCTGCATGAATAGTCGCAGCCTGCATCATAAATGATGTGCAAAAGCCATAAATTTTCAATTTGTTGCTTGCATGATCTGACCCCAAGTCCACATGAGAAAATTGACAAAAGTTCTCTTTTTAAATCCCCATAACTTACATTGATGTAATTCGCAGGGTTTGCCAAATCTGCAAAACCATTTTTCTCTCAGTGTGTGGTGATATTTATGAGCCGTCCTTTTCTGTCACTATCTGCAGGCTTCTTGAGTGAGCAAGCAACAAGATACATCACCTTCTGTTTGCCCTAACAAAGAGGTATGTGTGTCTCTTTGGACACTGGTCTGTGCAGGAGTATTTGTGATTAATTCTGGCTTGAATATGTGTTTGTTCTTCTCTCACGTTGCCTTATGGACATCAGTGTGTTTTCCTGTCTTTCGTCCATGATCATCAGAGTGATTCAGAACTTAAGAGGTCAGCCATCCCTTCCAAATCTGAATGCACTTGCAAACTGTCCAACGATCCATTTGGATTCTGTGGTAGGCCTGCATTCCATAACTGTACAGTAAGACTGGTAAAATTTTCCTATTTAAGCGAAGAGGCTGGGTTGGACGTCCTATAAATCACTTGTTCCCAACATCAGATGAAGTGAAAGTATATTCATCCTAGCCAAGAAGTGACAATGTTAGAATTCTTGATATGTTCGTTGTTTGGCAAGGATATTGATAAACTCACGGAAAAGGCAGAATGGTCGAGTGCTGATGTTGCAACATGAAAGCAATATGTGCATGTACACATGTATGCCACAGGGTACAGATGGGTTAAAGTAGAACAAGGTCGTTGTGGGCATTTAGAAAGCACACCCATTCTCTACATGTTCAATTGTTCGGATCATTCTGTTTCATGCCAAAATTCGTAAAGTTGCTGCTCAGTTAAAAGAATCGGTTTTTACATGTACTGGTATAATGACATTTTAGAGAGGAAAAGTACATTGTACTGGTACCAGTTAAGTTTGCTATTAATTCATACCCACCAGCTGAGAAGATTTGTTTTTTGTTTCTGGAAGGACAAACCCAAAGTATTTTTATTAATTTGTGTCAGCTGTAAACAGAGGAACAGTTTAAGCAAGTGAACTTGTGACAGTGATGAGACAGAGCACGGGATAACAAGTAAGAGCTTACGAGTACACTTGATGTACCATAGGCTCCATGTCAAGTTGACAAATTGGCTGGCAGTTACTTAACCCTTCTTAAAATTGAAGTCAAGTTGTTAAGATGCTCATCAGCATTTGTAATGTAAAATGAATGCCTTGTGAATACAAGTACAAATTAGGACTGTCTGTATCGCACACCATGTGACAAAGGGCATAAGGTGTAAAGGTTGTGAAAGGAAAATTTCTGCTTCATTCAGCGGATCCCACATCAAGCACTCACTGAAGAACAGAGAGAGCTCTTGCTTCTCCAGTGTTGGGGGGATATTCAGTGGGCTATCTTTACAAGGATGTCCTTGCTCATTTTGTAAGGCATTCAAGAGGCTTGAGTCACTCCAGGGAGATCCATTGTGGCTTCATACCAGCCCTTGTCCCAAGGACTGTGGGCTTAAGGTGTTGCTTCTCCTGGGGCCTTGTGACTGTTTTCTAATTCGTACTTCATGACTCCCAGCACCTCATTTATGTGGTCAGCTTGTGATTATCAGCTATTGAAGATGTCCTCTGTTTGCCATCCCCTGATTGCTGCTGGAGTTATGTAATGTAACCCATGAGAGACAGACATGGTCTTTCCTTGCTCATTGTTTCTGTGGGGGTGGATATCTCACTTCAAGCTCTCAATGGTGGGTAGCCTACATGTGACGTGAAAGCAGTGGTAGAATGAACACATGCATTTGGGCTCTGTCACCATGAAGAGTCTTTACAAGGATATCTGTAGGCCAGAGAACAGGGCCCAATTTCACGGCGCTGCTTACTGCAAGCGAAAAATTGGCGCTTCCCGTAGCAGAAAATTCTGTGCTTACGGCGAACGTATTTCACGGGTTAGAGAGGAATTTAAGCATATGCGCATGGGTATATATACTGGTACATCCCCTAACTAAGGATTCTGTGCTTAAAGGGTTAGTGCAGAATTATTCAGCTTGCGCGGTTAGCGCAGATTGGAGATCTTAAGCACGGACTGCACTAGCAGCGCCGTGAAATTAGGCCCAGCACTTTTTGAGTCTCCAGTTAGACTTCAGCCCTGTGATATGGATGGTACATTTACCTGTGCAGCGGAATTCCTTTGTGATTATGAAATGCTAAATGCTTGAATATTATTTGAGGCATGGTTGCATACATTTACCTACATGTACTTGTAGGAGATTTTTTGGATCAGAAATGTTGGAACTAACATTCCTCAAATGTTGAAACCGAACAGTACACTCACTCAAATTCAGCGTGCCCTCTGTTTTGAGATAAATACAGTACGTGTGGAACATTTCCACTAAAGTTTCCTCTGTTAATACGTCACAGTGGTTGTACAGGTCTGTAAGTATTGAAAAGTTCCACATCCAAAGGCAAAACCACTGAAAAGTTTTTGTCACTTGAGGTGCCAAAAACACAATGCCTCCAAAAAGTTGGCCTTGGGATATGTGCCAAAATGTACAACGCTCTCCTTTTGTGGAAGGGAATGTGTTTCATATGTTTGCCCCACAGTGTTTGACTATTGGGGCCCACAGATACTGAGCTGTCAAACATTTCTCTTGGATTGCTTTGTGAGCCCCAATTTCAACATACATGTACCTGTGCTTCCTCATTGGCATCCCCTGGAAAAGCATTGTCAAATGTCTGCATTGAACTTGCAGTTGATAATGGTGGGAATGCGCATGGTTGACCATGTGGGAAGAAGCAAAAAAGCTCAAAAGGCCAGACGTCTGTCACGTCATAGTTTCCATGTATGCATTTACATGTACATGTATCTTTCCCACAGGCAAATTACTGGTAAAGACATTTCATCAGGTCGTACCAGTATGTGCTTTTCACCCAGATCTCTGTCTTATAGTTAAAACATCTGGGAAAGTTGTCTGGTGCCCAAACAGAACACCAGGCCTGGATGCAATTTTTTAGCATTCACTGTTGGGACTGTTTTCATGAAAACAGAATTGTCTATTGAAAGCTGTAAAATATGGTACAAGTTAATTGTTATTTCCCATTTTGGAAGTATTGACCGTGACATGTGCATGTACATGATTTATGCATCCGTCCTTTAAGCAGACGTGTGAAGTCTCATAGCACAAAAACTGTGGGAAAAAGTAAAGTACATGTGCATGTGAACATGTACATGTACGTGACACAGTGTGCCTGCTGAATGTGCGTGGCAAGGTAATCATTGCCTTGTAATGACTTTGCAATATAACTTGCGCCTGTTTCACACCAACTGTGGGAAAACTAGTGCGTCACTCACACACACCCTGATGTGAATTTTCTGCCTAGTATGGAATTTCTCTTAGCGCTTGACCTCTTGAGAAAACAAAAATGTCGGCCAAGTGATTTAATATGGATCAGATGAGGACAAGCATCATTTGTTGGAATGGTCCTATCTTGCATCGAAGTTGACAAGGATATAAAACTCTGGAGAAATAGACTGGTACATTTTGTATCCTGAAAAGGCCTAGTGTGTGGCAGTCCTAATGGTACATTTGAAACTATCTGCCCTGATGTGAGCTGCAAGTGCATTCACACTGACAGACAGTGACCACCATTGTGAAAGCAGTCATGAAATAATATTTTAAGGACTGCAGCCAGTACCTTTACCTGAGGCATAGTTCAGTCTTCCTGATCCAAGGATTTGATTGCTTAGAAAGGTTCAACAGAGGCCTGCCTGCCTGCTTGTGAGCCAAAGGTACTCTGCTCACTCCCCCCCCCCATTCCCAGGGTACAGGACAGTTAGGGCCAAATCATGTACATGTAATATTTACCAAGCCAGCAGCTGATAACACCCTCCTGAAGACCCCGAGCAGTTTCATTAACTTTGGGGTGTCTGTCCTGTGTGCCTGTCTGCATCAATATGAGCCTTCATCAGGGACAGTCTGGGCAAACAGGGAGCCTCTCCCTGGCATCTTTGGATGATCCCGATTTCTGTTGTGGAATAGAGGCCACATAGATTACTCAAGATGGGGACATTTTGGTTTTTCCATCTTCCCTGAGGCATCGAGCACAACTAAAGTGGCTTGTGCATTAACTTCTGCCAGCTTTTACGTTCTTGCTTCTCCTTGCATTTTCAAACCTGTTGTGTTCCAGGTAATGGAACTTAAAGTGCATAAGTGTGCACGCAGCAGTGTGTGTATTGTTTTCCAACATGTAACTTACTTAATCTGATTCTTCTCATGAGACGGTCTTTAACCTGCCTTTAAATGCGAACAATTTTAAATTCAAACAATTTTGTGAATGTGTTTTAGGCTTTCTATTGATCTGCAGTATAGTATCTGTACTTTCACACTCATGCCATACACGTATACATGTATTTGAGGATGTGTAAGTGTGTAAATTGTATGGTAAAACAAATACGTTGACTCACAAATGGTTTTCAATGGTTCAAGACTTACTTCATTTTCACAATCATTGCATAATGAACATTTCTTTGAAGTTGTAGAATTTCAGTCCTTGTTTGCTTGGATGAGATGCACGTTCTGAGAATTAAGGGAAGATGCTGAATGGGCCTTTCTGTGGTAGAAATTGAAAGCATGACCACCATTGAAGAACTGTACTTAAGTTGAGAGCCATTATTTGGCTTCCATACGTGACATCCACAGTTACCAAGTACAACATGTACATACATATATGCACTTGTCATGCAAGAGACGATGCGGGGTTGTGCATTTGAGACAAAATAGGCACAGGTACATGTACTGGGTACCAGTGGGTATACATGATCTGCCCTTGTCTCTTTTGAGAGGGAACCAGTAGGATGGTGTCTTCTGGAGTTCCTGCTTCTCACCCAATTCTTACCATCTCATGCCTCCTGTCTCTTCCTTCTTAATTCCCTCCTCTTCCCTTTGGCATGTCCTTGTTATCCCTTGAATCATAACATTTAAACTCGTCGAGAAAATAATAGGTATCATCTTGTAAATAACTCAGGTTCTGGATGTTTAGATACATGGAGGTCCAATACATTCCAGTACCTTATCTCATGCTCCATGCATTTGGAAAACCGATGTGCCTGTCCTTGGACACAAGCTTTTGTTTGTAGGCATAAAATAACCTGAACAAGGGACTGCTTGTGGTAGTGGGAGTATGCTGTGTGTGTGGTATTGTCATTACAGCATTCTTTTGTTGTCGTTATGGGACATTC